AGAGTCTACTGTCCTCATGCGATGGAAAGCGAGCGAGAGCGTCGAGACTCTGAGCATTGTTGATGCCACGCAAAAGCCGTCCATCTGGGAGCCTAGCAGGCGCCGCTGTCAGTGAGATAAGTGTCTAGTTTGGTGAGGGCTCTGCTCAGACTCCACCTGAGTCCAGGTTGGGAAGCCTAGTACGGTAGGGCTGGGTTTGTATGAAAAGGTTCCTGACTAACTGTGGTTATGAGGGAGAAAAGGTCCCTATTTTCAGAGGTTGCTCATTTCTCTGGTCAGGAACCGTGTCTCCTCTGCAGCAGAAGGTTGCCTCCAGGAGAATAACTCCAGGTGCTTGCTTTCCTCCCATTTTTTTTCTCTCTCTCTCTCTCTCTCTCTCTCCTTTCTAGTATGTTGGCCAACACACTCTCCTCTCCTCTCCTCTCCTCTCCTCTCCTCTCCTCTCCTCTCCTCTCCTCATGCCTGTTTGTAGAACACTGGTTGGTGTGCATCCCCACAGGCCAGGTCTCGGGATCCATGGAGAAGTAGGAGCGGAAGAAAATCATGCAGGGCTGTGGGCGCTAAAGTCGAGCTGTGACTGTTGGTGTTAACTCGGTCTCTGTCCATCGAGTGGGGCCGAGGTAGATGGGATTGGAGAAGGAGGCCAGGATGAGGGCAAGATTTGAAGCACCAGTAGAGGTTTGTGTAGTGATGGCTCATGTTTGGCTTTTGCAGCTGTGCTTCCAGAGGAATTTTCCAGGAGCTCCAGCCCAAGGAGAAAGTGGCAGAAGTGGACATGAATAGACCGGATATCCTTGTGAGCAGACTTGAACTGTCCTCAGCTTTCTGACTCCCGCATAACTGGCTGTGAGTAAGCGGTCAGTGCTTTGAATTCCTCATCTGTGGTTGCTGTAGTATTCTTCACAGGCCGTGTGCTTCCTCGTTGGGTACAAGACTCTGTAAGATTTAGGCTGGGGAGGGGCCAGAGTCTGCTGCGCAGAGTGATTATTTCGAGTGCCGTTGAAAGGGCTGCTTTTTAGTTGTAATGCTAAAGGCGTAATGGGGGGAGGGCTGAGTTTCAGGGCGGAGCTCCGCCATGTGGGAGAGGCAAAAAGAATAGCCTATGCGATGTTGCCCACTGAAATGATAACGTTATTTGTTTTTCCTCCTTGTGCCGGGTTTAGTACCAAGGGAAAAGAAATCAAACGTCAGAGGTTACTCCCCTCGTCGGTTGGAAAGCGAGCGAGAGCAGCGAGCCCACGAGCATTGTTGATGCAAGTCAGGAGCCGACCATTTAGCAGTGGAGCAGTCGCTACTGTCAGTGAGATAAGTGTCTGGTTTGGTGAGGGCTCCAGGTAGGGACGCCCCGTTAGCTGGGGTTGGGTTTGTAAGAAATGGTTCCTGACCAGCTGTGCTTATGAGAGAGACAAGGTCCCCATTTTCAGGGTCTGCTCATTTCTCTGGCCAGGAGCGGTGTCTCCTACGCAGCGGAAGGTTGCATCTAGGAGGATGACTCCAGGTGGTGAGTTGCTTGCCTTCCTCCCATTTTTTCTCTCTCTCTCTCTCTCTCCTCCAGTGTGTTGGCCAACTTTCTCACTCTCCTCTCCTTTCCTCTCACCATCTCCCTTCGTAGGACACGGGCAGGCGTGCTATGTGTGCATCCCCACAGGCTATGTCTCGGGAGCCATGGAGAAGTAGGAGGGGATGAAAATCATGCAGGGCTGTGACTGTCTATGTTAACTCGGTCTCTGTTCATCAAGTGGGGCCGACGTAGATGGCATTGGAGAGGGAGGCCAGGATGAGGGCAAGCTTTGAAGCACCAATAGAGCTTTGTGTAGTGATGGCTCATGCTTGGCTTTTGCAGCTGCGCTTCCAGAGGAATTTTCCAGGACCCCCAGCCCGAGGAGGAAGTTGCAGAAGTGGACATGAGCAGACTGGACATCCTTGTAAGCAGACATGAACTGTCCTCAGCTTTCTGATTCCCGCAAAACTGGCTGTGAGTAAGCGGTCAGTGCTTTGAATTCCTCATCTGTGCTTGCTGTAATATTGTTCACAGGCCGTGTGCTTCCTCGTTGGGTACGGGACTCCGTGAGATTACGGCTGGGGAGAGGCCAGAGTCTGCTGCGCAGAGTGATTATTTTGGGTGCTGTTGCAAGGGGTGCTTTTTGGTTGTAATGCTAAAGGTGGAACGGAGAGGGTTGAGGGCGGAGGACTGACCTGTCACCATTTGCTACACCCACAATTTCCCATTCCTGGGTCTATGGGAAAGG